TGATTCACCGCCACAGTCCTTGGTAGATGCACTACAAAGTCCCCGACTGGATCTTGAACTGTGAATTCCAGGGCACTGCTAAAAGCACAGCTCACTTGATTCTCGGCTCTCAGGGCGACGATGTACACTCCCGGCTGGCTGTACAAATGCACAGCGGTCTCCGAGTCACTCACAAGACTTGAGTTTGCACCAAACTTCCAGCTGTAGGTCACATTTGTGCCGGTGACCACGGTTGCATTTAAGGTGACTAAGGTGCCAGTTCTGATGTGCTTTGGGCTTGAAGAAAAAATAGACAGCCCAGATATTGCATCCTGCACCAGCAGCTGGGTGGTGAAGGAGGCGTTACTGATGGGATTGAAGGCCACGACCTGCAGCTGGTAATGGCCTTCGTCCTGAAGACAGAGGGTGAGCGACCAGTCCGGCGTGGTTGTGCTGAGAAAGGCCGAGCTGCCCCTCGAGACGATCCACAGCACGGCCGAGCCCCGCCGGTCTGCAGAGCTCGCCACGGCGAGAGTCGCGTTCGCCCCAGAGCGCAGGGCGGTGTCCCACGGCGCGGAGGGCCGGACCTCCTGAATGGGCTCGTAGACGTGCACCGGCCGAGGCAACACGGCGCGGCCCGTGGCCTCCTGGGAGGACACCTCCGCCGAGGCCCGGAAGCTGCCCGCTGCGCCGTACCGGTGCACGACCTGGGCGTGGAGCTGGCAGCCGGGCCAGACGGGAGCCTCCGCCCACGGCGGACGCCTGGAGCTGTGCCCCAGCTGGCGCGCGTGGGAGACGCCGGCCCGCAGGCTGGCACGGAGACGCAGGAGTGGGCGGACTGTGGTGAAGAGCCCCACCTCCAGAGTGACCTCCTGACCCACTGCCACCGCGTAGCCGCTCCTGGACACCAGGGTGAGGTTAGAGAGGACCTGAGGAACAACGGCCTACGAGAAGAAACAGAGGCTGAGCACTTTGTTTGTCGTTCGAAGAGCTGGATTGCTGTCTTGTAAGAGGCACCTGTCACCCTGAATTCAGTTGTTAAAAGCAAAATGTTTATTTTTTAAAACGCAGTTTTTTGAACATGCAAACCAGCGTTCCAGTATCACTAAACTGATGTTAAAAGTGATTTGAATTTTCTACAGCTCTAGAGCCGTTTCAGCTTACTAATAGAAATCTCGAACAAATAGCTCAATAATGCTAAAGCTTTCGCCCAATCTTACCACGCTGATGACTCTCCGCATCCAGTTATAGGCATTTGAAACATTCACAATGATTTGGTAAATCCCTTCTTTTTCAAATGTATGGTTCTGAAAAAAAAAATCAGTCAGGTGTAATTGTGCAGAAGCATCAGGTGTACTGGATATGCTCTGAAGATGAGTCGCAGAATGTTTAATGCCCCGCATGATTTTAAACCTCCGAACTGGGTAATATGGAGGTCCAATTGTGAAATGCGGAGATAAAAAAAATCAACAAACTCGGGTCAGAGATGCTTCCACTATAAACTGCACATGACGCAGAGAACGTACCACAGTGCTAGTTAAGCAGTCAGAGGGAGTGTCACAATCACTGCCTGAATGGTGTGTGGAGTCGTCATCACTGAACTGCCAGGAAAATTCCAAATCCTCTCCCATTGCTACAAAGGCTTTAAAAGTAGAAGTGCGTCCCAGGAAGACCTTCTCCAGGAATTCGGTGCCTCTCACTGGGAACGGGACACAGGACGGGACGTCTTGAGGTCTCTGCACCACTGTCACTTCCAGAGCAGAAGGCTCAGGGACCAGGGTGAGGACGGAGACATTCCCAGACTCCTGCGAAACTGCGTTGCTGACAGTCACACCTGGGCGTGGAACAGACACAGCGACGGGAGAGAGCATGAGCCTTTATCTTTGGGAGTTAGAGAGCATGACAATTAATAGAAACCATGATTCTCATCTGGTTTATATACAGTGTTGGAATGTGCAATTTAAACAACTTGTAAAATTAAAATGTGCCTGTTGTTCTCTCTGTATGTCTTATAATAAGTATGGAATCTTATAATTGACATACTTATGTTATAGATTCCAGGCTCTTGAAATGTCCAGACAGAGGAGCAGGAGAAAAAACCATTTTCCAGAACAGCGACACTCCGAGAGCTCTGAAAGTAAGGAGTCCATCTGATCACAAGCTGAACCGAAGAGAGGTTGTCAGGCCTCAGATCTGGGATACCTTAAAAACATGGAAAGGAACAGGATTAAATCGAACCTATCCCAACGTCATACCCAACACAAATGATATCAACAATAATATTATTCTGTGATGTTTAACCAAACAGGGAGACGGCATTTGCACAAAATTGAACCTGAAATTGATTCCATGCTTTTTTCAAATGATCTGAGATATGGTCGTGCCCTTTATAGAAGCTGTGCTTTCATATTTTTTCCTCTCAGCTCCAGTTACTTTGAAAACCTTCTCAATATCTTATTACTGCTTCCCACAGCAATAGCTGGGGTTACCAACGTAAAAATTAGAGTACTCCTGTGTGGCTCCAGAATTTATTGGAAGCTGTCAATCGCACCTACAGAGCGTCACAGCATGTCAGGTATGCTACACACAGCTCATCCGACAGGAGGAACACTCCATAGTTCAGTAATGCACTGCATCCCCCTGCAATCAATTACGGACAGAAAACTTCTTTGCTTTCCCCTTGTGTTTAGAGTTTCAGGACTGCTTTGCGAAAGGTTAATGAAGAATGTGCGGCATCTGGGAAATACAACTGCAGGGGAGTGAGAGACAGTAAATGTGATCTCACCTAGAGGCTGTCGCCAAGAATGAGCCAGATACCCAGACACCTCGAGCGTGAAAGGCCTTCCTGCCCACACACTCTCTCCTCCCAGCGTCAGGCTGACGTTCCGGATGTACGGTCCCAGGGTGCTGTAGACAGCATAGCTCTTCCCCTGGGTCCCAAAGGACAGACACAGCCGGCCATCACACCTGCATGTGAAGGTCATTGTGGAACGTCAAAGCGATGCCTGCTTTCAGTGTTCGAGAAAGCAGCAGCAGAATCTTCAATGGCGTCTTATCATGCGGAAGAGCCGCTCCTGTTGCGAGCTCAACCTCAGAAAGATCCTGAATTAGGAACCCGGGATCTTTGACTCGAGCAGGGTGCTGGTGTGAATCGCATCTACTTTTGTCCGAAAGACCTGAAAAGCGCTTGTTATGTAGAAAACGGCAGGGACGATAAAACAACAGGGTGCACATGAATGAATCTGAGTTTCTTACAAAGTCATTGATTAGCCTTATAAGAAACAGAGGTGACTACCTGTCAAGACAGGTTTCAGACGCTGGGGCGTTTTCCTGCTCAGGCAGGCTGGCATTCATGCAGGATTCGCTGGAGTGAGCCGAGCTTCGCGGAAAGAGGAGAAATTCATCACTTCAACGCCACCGCTTGAGTAAAATTCGTCCAGGAATAATACGGAAATTTACAGAACGCTCCCACAAAAGCCCCTTACAAGAATTTACTATGTTAAATTAAATTAACCATTGTCTGCTGGAGAACAGCACAAGTTGTAACGAGTCTATAGTGGTAAGATGCAGAAAGCAGATATCAGCAAATGACTAAGCAGACTCACAGGGTATACAGTATATCACTATGACAGGTGCATCTGGTCAGGATACACAAAGTCAGAGCACTCACCAGCCCCTGGTGCTATTTCCAGGGGTGTCACTGAAACGAACTGTGCTGTTGAGTGGCTGATCGAGAGAGGCAGCACCAGTCCGGGGGCAGGAGCACATCTGCCCAGATAAGGCAGCCATCTGATATCTGAAAAAGCACACACAGCTTGTGACTATTCACTGACGTTTAACACCGAGCACTCCAGAGTACTAGCCAATATTTAATCAAGACTTATTTCCGAGAGGCGTGTGATCAGGAAAGGGCAAAGAAAAAAAAATCCCCAATCTCAGGCATCTATAAAAAAAGACAAAACAGTGACATTTTCAGAAACAAGGAGGTTTACAGTTGTTTGGACCAAGCTTTATAGACTGGAAAGGTCAAGCGGAAAAAAAAGTATTTTATTGGAAACAGGACTACAAGGCTCAGCCTTCAGCACATTTTTCTTGATATTTCCATGTTATTTTCTCTGCATTTACCACACAGTCAAATCCTAGAAAACGTGAGCTGTGTATCATTTTAATTGGACTGCTCATTTTAGCAAACAGGAATTGGGAATCCCTGTTTATGAAGTGAAGCTGAAAGCATGTGGAACTGCAGCAGAGAGCAAAACAACACAATAGACACATTTTACATAACATAACATATGTCTATATATATATATTTGTTGTTTATACAACATGATCATGTCAGGGCAGTTCTATCTTATGCGCCACCATAGGATTAAGGAATATACCTGCCTCACATCACTTGTCTTAACCAGCTCTCTGCAGGGTCCACTGACAGACCCCTCTGTGATGTGTGCAGTGACTCCGACTAGCCAAGCTGCTCTTCTTGAACACAGCCTTAATGCATGAGACCTGTGTCTAGCTGAGCTCAGGATCAATTGTACGAGGAGACACACCTGAGCCATTGGATTATGCAAGTTTCACTGATGCCTTTATTTGTTGCTTTGCCCCATATTGTACTGTATATCATTTGTTTTCAATCTACTTTCAGTTTTTGTTTGTATAAGGCTAGTTTTTGATTGTGAGTATTTTTTTTATTTTTGCTTCAAGTGCATTTATAATAATTTAAAATAGAAATTTGTTGTTTTCCCATATAATTTTTTGTACAGAAAATGCGGAAACAACATATTGGCCTTAACTGTTATAAAATAGCCTTTAAAATGTTTCAGTACTAATAGCATCTTCTATCAGGTCTCACCTAATATTACATCATTTGAGCCATGACCATGTTCATTTTGGGGGCATCATAAAGAATGTGAAGGAGGTTTTAATTAAAATACCTAAAAATAAAGTGTTATCAAATGCTTTATCTGAAGAAGATCCATCAGAAAACTAATGTAGTGACTTCCCTTGTCATGGTTTTGAGTAATGCAGAACATTAAAGGGTAGGTTTATAATATCCATCCCACAGACTTGCTGAAACCTGCCTGTGCTCACTGGAGTGAATCAGCCATGCTTACAGATGGCTCAGGCTGTCTGCAATGGGTCATGTCTTGAACATTCACAGCAGAAAAGGAGATGTTTTCTGTGTTAATAATTTATGTTTCTATGGTATTTGTATTAAATTGTCAATAAATAAAAAGCAACACATCAGTAATTCAAGGGGATGTACTTACTTTTATCTTGACAGTATTACAATATACACACTTACCATAATGAAAGTGCAATAAATGAAAAATTAATTAATGGGAACATGTTTTAGATAATAAGGCTGGGTGCACATTGGTGTGTTATAGTGAATCCGTTTTCTAAAGTTTCTGTTAAGTAATTTTTAAATCACACAACATTTCTGCACTTACAGTACAACGGGCTGATATTAGCCTACCGCCTGATGTTATTGTAATAGATTTTGATATTGTCTGTTTTAAGAAGCATTAGACAATGTAAGATGGGGCACACGAGTTCCAAGTGAATAAAACACCATACAATCGGATACAATATTGTAAATAATGTATCAACATAGTATATCTTAGTAAAAGATCGACAATCGCACAATGAGAACAGTCTTATATTAGCCCGTTATTATCTTTCTTTAAAGTTTACATTGTTGACTTTGTAGCACTTCTTAGAACAACGTCTATAGTACATGTTTGATTGATTATAACTAATGGGTGATTGGGTTTTGTTTTGGTCAGTGGTGTGATGCTAGAGGAAGATCAGTCTGTCGATCAATGGGGTTTTTTTCCTCTCTGCTACCCCTGTACAGATGCTTCTGGTGATTCACTCCTCCCCTCTTTGAACAGTTTGCTCCACGTTGGACAAATGCCGCGTCTCAGAATGTCACCCCCTGGCCTTCTGGGGAGTATCTTGAACAGGTGGGTCATTAGCTTGTAAAACTAGGGTAAAACTTTTAGTTAAAACATATCTAAGGGATCATGTGTTATGTGTAAAACAGCCCCTGGAGGGTTTGGAATGCCCAGTGACCTAAGGACACAATTCCGGGAGAGTAAAAATGTTTTGTGCAGTCAGAGCCATGCCTCCAGTGCCTCTCTGTGTTCATTAGGAGAATCTCAACACGTTCAGGCCCTGGCTTCTGGAGCTGACTGCTTTTCCTTCTGTGTCCTTCTCTGCGGCCTAGACAAGCCCGCAGTGTCTCTACAAATCTGTCATAAGAACACACTGAAGTCAGACCTTGTGCTCTGATGATGTGACTCTGTTTGACCTTTAGGGGTATTCGCGGCCTGGGACAAATTCAGCATATAGGCAACTGACATAGGGCTGTGGAGACTGGAGACCATGTACCAGAAGGAGGAGCTATAACTGTGGGAGACTGGAGATCATGTACCAGAAGGAAGAGATATAAGTAACAGCAAGTGCTTTAAAATCAGACAAAAAACCCCAATATTAATTTGCATTAGTAAGGATGTTTTAATATTACTTCACAATTTTCCTCATACAGTTCTGGTTTTTGTGATTGGTCCTAATGATTAACTAAATGATTTGCTGTAAACATCCAGAATTAAAAAGTGTTTTTGAGTCTAACTTGAGCTTTTCCAAGCTATCGGTGAGAGTTGAGCAGTTCGCTGTGCTCTTTTCTTGAAAGGCACTTTGTTGTTTTGGAATGTGCAGCTGGGATTAGATTACAGAATTTGAATTTGCTATAAACCCTCTTTGTTGGTCCCTCCTTACATGTTTGTGCCACTTCCAAGAAATAAATATCCCAGTTCAGATAGCCTTTTAAAAATTGTGTCTCTTCACCTTGACATCTAAAATACATATCTAACTACTCATCTTTAAATTTGCTAAATATCTAGACGGTATTAAAAATTGAAGAATTGTAGCTGACATGACAGGGCTGAAAAATAATCTCATATTATTGATTGTTTCTATGTTTTTGCACCGAGATGCGAGATCAAGCTCCTTTAACATGCAACTTAATTCGCAAATAAAGTGATTCTGATTGAGAAACAATGAGAGGCATTTTACATTGTAAGTCCTACTATAAAGTCATTCCACATGCTTTAGTATTCATCATCTATTTGTTTTCTGGAGAAGCTCCCACCAGCAGGTATGAACAAGGGACTCTAGAGTCCCTTGGCCTTGTAATAAGGTCTGAGACCCACTGCTGACTGGGGAGATATCTGTATCTCCTGAATACCTTCCATGCTTAGAAGCAGCAAGAAAATAACAACACTGCTGCTACTACTATGACTACTACTACTGCTACTAAATGAGAGACAGAAAAGTCTTAAGGAAAAAAAAAGGCAGAAGGAGAAAACTGAATCAGTGTCTTTGCTTAAGTCAAAAGAAGAAACATTTCAATAGATTTCGCTTACCCCCTGTCAAAACATAGCTTTGAGCAAAAGGCAGGGTCTGGCTCTCTGTCAGTGAGCGTCTGATGCCATCCATCAGGGAATCCAAGAGAACTGCCTTCGTAGCAGCCCAGATACCACCTCGGGCCTGCGTGGATAAAAACACAGAGCACAACGACGCCAAGTCGTTCCTCAGGAGACGGAGGCTTCCAGGGACACTTAGATCAGTTCAGAAATCCGCTTGTCAGACTGCCAGCCGGAAAAAACTAACCCCGTTTGCTCACTAAACACAGACACTCATCCCCCGATACAATTAGCACTTTACCTCCAAGTACTCGGTCAAAGTTTTGACACCAATATATAATAATTTTGTTATAAGAGTTCATTTCCAAGCACGCAGCTTGTTCTTCCATTTTTATTTTTCGCTGCTCTCGGCTGTTGTCCTCTGATCTTTCCTAAGAGACGTTATAAGGGTCTTATATGAGTTAAGGTGTGGAATAAGATATCGAATGCATGATTTGAAAAAAATACTATTCATCCACGAATGTTATCGTTTTCTACTATGAAATGTTTTATTTTGATTATGCACCACATGAATGCACAGTATCAATATCACCTGAGAGCTTGATGCTCTATCTTCACTTACAGTTATGGGGTTTTTATTCTCTTTGACTGAATGTAACGTTGATATTACGAGCTTTAACCTATGAGCAGAAAGTTTGTGCTCATGTAGCAAGGGATGAGCGTACTTCATTAAAATACTGGCGCCCCTTTCACAGTGTCACAGCTAAGTGATTCATTGTTATTCTCCCCAAGCATGTACTCTTGCTTGTGCCAGTTTCTTTACTTTGTTAAATTCAGTCTTCATCTATCTGCGACCTGGTTCTGCTAGTTCATTTCAGTTTCCAGCAGATGCTGTTTGCTGCTCAGCTTATTGTATTGTTATTATGGAACAGCTTCCACCTCCGGGCAATAAGACTGCTAAATAGCCAACCTGCAGCTCCTTCAGCTGGACACACTGTTTTCATTGTATTCGGCACACTGCACTACTTGGACATAATGTATCGCATACACCCTGGACACAGAGCTGCTCTATTTATATTGAGTTTTGTCCGAGTTTATTTTATTCCATTTCTATTGCATTATTATCGATTATTATGTCATCTTATTTTGTAACCCTAATTTGGTGAGCGCGTAGAAAAGACATTTCATTGCCAGGAACCACTGCTACATGCTGTATTGCTGTGGATTTGATCAACAAACTTTGATTGATTGATCGATTGATTGATTGTACCTGCTCTTGGAACATGAGAACATGTGAGAAGTTACAAAGGAGAGGAGCGCCTTGGGCCCATCTAGTTCCCCAGGGTGCTCACAGCTGAGTAGCGACCCACAACCCATGGGTCAAGAAGTGCCTCCTGTTCTCCGTTTTAAAAAACGCTTCCACACAGTTTCAACTTGTATGCTCTGGTTTGCATTTCACCGATGAATTGAACATCTGAAATGGGGCTTTAAAACTGTAGCGTTGTCAGGGTGTGAAACGAGTGACACAGCTGCAACAGCCATGTTGTTGAAGCCAGTACCCTGGCCTCCAACAGACCTCTGCCATCCTATAGCTCATAGGCCTTTGCACACAAGAGTTGCAGCTTTGTTGCCGAGGTATGACTAAATTCACAGCTCCTTCACTCCTTTAAACCTGAGTGATGATATCAACATCCAGATATGACTGTCTTACCATAACGGATTTTCAAAGAATTATACAAAGACAAATATCTTCATGGAGTGGGAAGAAAGAAGAAATAAACACCACTTCTCATTTTAGGCCATTTTAGGAAGGTTTAGACTCAGCTGTGCTTAGGAACAGAGAGGACAGATTCCACTCAGGTTTGAACTCTGTTCAGCAATGTGAAACGAGATTATTAAAGACAGTCACATTCACTTATCTGCTCGCTTTAGGCTGTTATTTGTATGTCAGCTCATTTTGACAAGTTTACGGCACATCACTGATATGTCACCAAAAATCAACGGTAACTGAGGATAGTTTCCTGAAAAAGAGCTGTCAGAACAAAACTCTCTCTTCACTCAGGCACTCTCCCTTTACAACGTTAAGCAGGATTAATGAACACTACGCACTGAAGCCTTAGACTTATTCTCCCCATAAAGAACGGGTTTACAGTTTTTAGCACTTTATATCCCAAACGACATTAGCGGCATCGCATGTAAGAGGAGACCCATTTCATCATGCGCCTGGAAACTTTAAAGGAATTGCCAAATGTAACTGTTCCATTTCGCCTTGTCATAGCGAGCTTGATTGTGATATACAGTATCAGTTGTGAGATGGAGCTAAACCTTTCTAAGGAATAAACAGTATATCCCTCAAGTTGAGAGGTTACTGACGATATCAGAAATATAAAAGGCTTGTGAGAACTGCATTCTTTTAAAGGCTACAGACCAAACCTAAACTTGAATAATCCAAACGTTTCTTATACTTAAGGGTTAATTGTTCCTTTTTGCATTTTTCAATGTAGAATTGTTTTTGACCTCTTAACATCAGCTCATAAAAAGAATCAGTTGCATGTAAAAAGGTTGGGAATCTGGTTTTCAGCTCGCCCAGCGCTGAAAAGTCAGCACGACGTCCTACGCTGTCTCTCTATTTATTGAGGAGTCGAAGCAGACCCTCACTTCACAGCTCACATAGCCGTCTCACAGCTCGCTGGACCGTCCCCTCAGCACACAGGCCTCCAGTCCAACATATCTGTGTCAGCCAAGCAGAAAACTAATTCTTGGAGATGACTGAGAGCCCTGTAGAAATTAATTGGCAACCCTGCCTGCTGAAGTATACCCTCAGTCTGCAGAATAATAAGCTTTGTCCCGTCATTCACTCTCCCCTTACTGTCGTGACCATCATGTAACGTTACACCTCCACTCTAATAGACTATTTGCTTTCAGTGCTGCTTTTCTGTTGAAATGACGTAATGGAAATGAAAATAGATATTTTTATTTCTGTGTTTACTGTTGAGAACTCTTTAGGCCGTATGGTTATGTGGGCCTATTGATTACAAGACGGCAGCCAAAGGGAAATTCGTATTTATTGTACAAAGTTCCGATGAGAAGAACAGGTGAAAGACAGCCTCCTGTGTTAAAATGTTTGAGAAAACAAACAGAAGCACAGTCATACTGTACTTGGTCTGAAGGTAGTCTTTCTCAGCCAGCACAGCACTTGTATAGAGACTAATGTACATAATACTGTGATAAGATTTACAATTCTTCTTTGGCATTTTCTCCCAGACGACCCTAAGCTACAGTAAACCCATGATCTCCTTGCTGAGAAATGTTAAGTACCTTTTACAACTGTTTTCTTTTGAGACAACACTCAAAGGCCAGTAGAAACTTCATGAGATCATATGCTCAGTTAATAATGGTGTTAGACTGGATACGAAGACCTCTTTACTCAAAAGAACTAGTGTCAGAAATGGACAAATTTCTACTTCCTGAATGAACAGTAAAGTCTCTGTAGAGAGGCGCACCAATTATTTTCTACATTTCCGCTCTCGGAATTAAACAAAATGTTTAATTCCGCTGCATTAACGTACATGACCACGTATCTCAATATTTAAGCGTCGTGTCATAAAAACTACGCTTTGATAATGTGCAACCTGAGGCTGATGTAATTGCTTAGCGATTGCTAAACCGCTAGAGAAAGTTAATCCCAAACTTCTTGCAATTTAAATGTAATTTTGATGTAAGAAGTTTTTCATGATGAAATACACACGATGCGGTCGTTTTTTTAGACGGTTAAACGAATGAGTTGACTCATGAGCGCTAGAAAATGGAAAACATAACATTTAATTAACCAATAACTCGCCACACGCTACGACTGTCATTACAATTTCATTGCTGACCTTTAAATTTCATCACCAGGATGGAAGAAGACATTCCTGAAAAGCGTTTGGAAAGACACAAAATGAAACAGACAGAATTTGAACGTTCTCCAATTTATTATGGGTTTCCATATTTTAATTCTTAAATTCCCGTTGAATTAAACAGCTAACTTTTGGCTAAAACGGTAAATACCGGAAAGCAAGGTTGCATTACATGGGCGTAATGCTAAAACACTTGTACAGTACTCACCTTTACTCTCACTGTTAAGCGAAGCTTGCAGTATCAGAAGAATTAAAACAGAGACGCGAGCTGTGTCCAGGAAAACAAACCTCATTCTTTTTCTAACACGAATCTTCAGTCGAGACTTCGCATCTGCTTGTAGAGGGCGCGTCGCGCTCTGTAATACCTGAGCATATCTCTACACCTGCCGGACAGACTCACGGAGAGGAGGAGGAGGCGTGTTCGTCTTGGACTATGCGAGAAGGGCTTGAAGAATGATTGCACCGTAATCGCCACGACCCCGTGCCGTGACTTCCTTGCTTATTGTCCTTGGCACATTACAAGGGCGGCTTCTCTTGGGAAACAAATTGTAATCACGGATAATAAATGTGAAACGCTATGTGGCATTACACAGGGATCGAGTTGAGGATGGAATTAAAAAGGTAAACTATACACAATGTAGTTGTGCTGGGGTTTTTCCCCCCGCAAAGAAATACTACGTAGTAACTAATAAAAAATAAAAGTGCGGTCAGAAACAAAAACTTCATACAACCACCTTGCACGTTATTAACGTTATCACAGGTGTAGGTTTTAAAAACTTCAAAAAAGCACTTGAATCATACAGATCATTTCCATATCAAAATAACGAAACAGACACGCTGAAGTAAAATCTTTTTTATTTACAAAAGATAAATATTGTACAGAGAACTGTGAAATAAAAAAAAAACAAGTCAGTTCCAACCTGCTCACTCCTTGATATATATAATTCACAAGAAATCTAGTGGATTTAGTTAACTGCAGTTACTTAAATAAATATTGGGTTTATGCAATCAAATGCATTTATCCGTGAAAGGAGTATTAATTATAAAAAAGAATCAAAATATGTTTGACTGTTCCAAGTCGTAGTCAATGATTTCTAAAGACTGACGGATAAATTAAAACTGAATGTGATCATGAATTAAATCAGGGATACAGCGCCTAGATTTTGCTATTGGGGGAGAAGGTAATAATGAATAAAAGCCTTCTTCCTTTTTGTTCTGATGATGTTATTAATAACTTTTCCAAGCATTGCAGTCTACAGTCCAGGTTTCCAGACACTGTGTGAAATGCTGAAAGAGATGCCTGCTGGATTCTCCACTCTGTCTTTTAGAAACAAACCCCTTATTCCTTCTGAAACCTACCCAGATGGTTCTGAGGAGAAAAACCTCCCTTAGAGCCACGCCAGCTCAGAAAGCCTCCTCTCAGGCCACAGCTGGTATAAAGTACTGCAGGGACACGTCCTCGTGAAGCAAAATGAAGTGCACAATCCTTCCGCTGACAATATCTGAGCGAGAAGGAGGGGAAAAACAGAGTGAGTAATTGGTAGAATTGGTTTGGCTGCAGCTCGTTGTCTGACTAGAAGGCATTACAGGGGTAATCATCTCGACCCAGTCTTTCATTGGAGTACAGCTCCCCTCTACTGTGGACATTTGTGCAACTCAAGCAGGTAGCTTTGCCAGCTTGCGTAGGCTGCAATGGAACAACAGGTTTATTCTGCTAATAAACTCTCTATATGCTGAAAAGAGAAGAAAAGAAACGCAAAGTTTCCGCTGTGGAGCCTTCTCTGGGTGTGAGCCCTCAAACCTTTACTTCATTTCTACAACTCACTGTCTCAGGAAGGCTGGGAGTATCGCTGAGGACACGAGTCATCCTGGTTTCGCCCTTTTCTCTCACACTGCTTGTCTGACATCTTATTAAGCTGTGTGTTATTTAACATGTTGCTGCTGCTGATCTGCGTTTATGTTTTTGGCGATTCCTTTAATGTCTTTGTACTGGAGCATACAGTACATGCAAATAAGCATTTCATCACACTTGTGCATATGACAGTAAACTGAACTGAACTGTCTTTCCTGTCAAGTTACACAGTTACACATTTGTTTAAAGGGTTTTGCTTGCATCCTCCACAAACATTCTTGCTGCCCGACTTCAGGAGTTAAAAGTTCAATTGTTATTTATGTGTGATTTCTGAGAACGCAGCTACTTTTCCCGAGGCAAAGAAGAAATACAGCCTTCACCTCAACTGTATAGCATGCAAGTGTAACCATTAACACCTGCCTCTGCAGCAGGTTACCATGTGAAAGGAAGTGAAATGCAGATAGCAGCCACACCACTGATCCTCCTTCGCACTTCCAGGTAATGACGCTGGACGTGAGAACCAGCCCTTGTTTCCAGTGTGAAGGGCTGGGACAGCTCTGATCTTTGCAGGAAGGAACACCTGTCTGCACACACTTACAGACTCGCAGTCATGGGCAACCAGCGGAAAGACAATGCAAGTCTTCTTAGGCCAAGGAAACAATCTAAATGCCTAACCGTGTAAAAAAATACTGTTATCTTGCTTTTGATACCTACACACTACACTATTGTTTGGAGGAAAACTGTTTTCTTCAGTTTTGTCTTTGCACCTGTGAGCAAATAGTTTTACTGGCTGAAAAAGACAGCGGCACTCTCCTGCTTTATTTACAGTTCATTGGGCATGCAGGCTTGTGCAAAACTATTTTTCACAATAACTTTCTCTCACATACAAATGACCAGACGGTACACTGGAGAAAGAGAACTGAACTGCTGATCATGAACCCTGTGGTATTTTTCTATATACAGTATATAGGACATAAAAACCACGCTTCCCTTTGTTCTCTGGGAAAGATACAGAATGCTGATGTAGTAACATTAGCACTCCCCAGCACACTTTAGATTTATTTTACCACTGTATATTCATACCAGTGTCACAAATGTTACCATTAGGCATGGTCAACGATGGCACACTCTGCAGAGTACATGACACGCAGTGCCAGGCCTTCCCAATAGATGCTATCTGCCGTACTGTGTCCCAGCCTTTTAGTAAGAGTTGTATTATCTACATGTGAAAGTGCAGGTGAATGTCTTCCCTTCCAAATAGTTTAGAGCCAAGCCTGTAGCCAAACAACTCTGGACTTGCCAGGAGTGTTTTCATACCACTCCAGACATGTAGCCAGCCGAAACACACTTACTGCACACCGCTTTGCAAGGATTGACCTGCTGCCCGGCGAGGAACTGCTGAAGCTTCCTAATGTCGATCCGGGCCTCTGCCATGGTCTCGGGGTGTCGGTCCTGACTGGGGCCCTGGGATTCGTCGCCGTCTGGCTCAGGCAGGCAGAGACAAGCCAGAGTAAGAACAGAAAGGCTCTACCCTCAGCCAGCAAGGTTGCATTGCAAAATGAATACTAAAATAAAAGCTGCCTTCTAGCAGCTAGCTCCAGTTGCTGATTAAAACACCGGCGGAGCTGTGACGCGAGAGTGCTGCCATGGCAATGAACTGCATTGGGCAGAATGGTGGGAAATCACTAGTTCGCTTCATACAATCCAACATTAACAAGCGCCTTTGATTCAGGTTTTTTGCTCAGCAACATATATGAACACAATCCCCCCCCCGTATTCATGATTTCCGCCACTAAAGTCTTTACCCCAGGGAGGATTTTCAAGGTTTTTGAAGTGTGTGGCCACGGACACGAGATCGGTTTCGATCTTCAGATTCATCTCGCCGTTCCGGTTTGCTTCCAGCACCTGTGAAAGAGAGGAGCAGTATGTGCGCTTCAGCAGCGGGTACAGAGCGCACACGGGCAGAACCCAACCCAGTGTTGAAAACGCCACGGTGTCGATATTGATATTCCTGTTTTAGTAATGGCACCATTAAAAGTGGTGTAGGTTGCTTTTGCCTCGTTAAATTACAGCATGAATATGCATTAATCCACATTCTGGAAGAACAAGCAGAAGCAAAGCGGGACTATTTTAAAACGAGGAACTTTGTCTGATGTTTTGTTTAGA